AAAAGTGATAGTAGTCAAAGTTTCATCTGATATGTACAATAAAATTGTTTACAAACTCAAATTTCGTACAAAAGTGTAAACGGTATTATTCCCTATGTTAGAATGTCCATATTTATGAGCTTCATCCTTATTTATGATGAAGGAAAGCCTTTAATTTTTTGTTGCTAGATGCCCGAAGATAAACAAAAGAGGATAAATAGAGAATTAAACGACATGTAAATAAAAACTACTGAATAAATACAGGAGACTCACGAGAACGCAATTTTCTTTGAAGTAGTTTTAAATTGAGATGTCATACATAGACACAAGTATTATTTATTCCATAATGGAACATAATTATTATTATTTGCTGCCTTTTTCTTACTGCTAACTGACTTATTCATAACTAACAGTGCTTAAAACACCTTCAGATGTTTAGCTTCATTTTATACCAACATCTATAATTAACAAGACAAAATTGCGTGTGTGCATTTTAAATTGCATATATGCAGGCGTTTCTAGATTATTTGAATTAAAAAATCTATGAAATTTAAATCAAATTTATTAAATAATGCACTTATATTTATTTTTATAAACCAAATACATACGTATGAGCAATAAACCTATTGTTTGCGAAAAATTTTTCCTTTTTTAATTTAAATTTATTTCCGTAAAAACATAAATAATTCTCCAACAAAAGGTGTGTATACATTCATATATGTATACATAATTACGTCTATACATAAAAAAAGCAAAATAATGTTAATTTAATTTTAAAACATTTTAAATTTTAATTATGATTATTATAAATATAAAATTAAAATCTTTATAAATAAATATGTGCGATTCTGATTTCAATTGTTTATAACAATTGCCTGAGATCTATTTCAACAAAATTTACATTTTTGTTTTTCTATTTTTATTGTTGAAAAAAAAATTATAAAGACATAGAAATCACGTCATTTTAAAAATGTTTCCCTTTCAGAATCATTATGAACTCACTTGGTAGATTTTTGAACTTTTTAACTTTTGAAAAACTTAACAATAAAATACACAAAGTAAGTTATGCATTTTGAATATTCACATATACTGTAGGATTTTCACATGAGAATGCATTGTTGTAAGATTTGAAGTCAAGGGCTTTCAAATTGTTAGTATTTTACATTAACCCTGTGTTTGTACACATTTAATAAAGACAAGATAATTTTATCAAAATGTAATTTTAATATTTAAACATTAATTGTATGATTGTATTTAATCGAACATGTTTGATTATAATAATAAGTTGTAATTATAATAATTCCTTGCTTATGCAGGCTTAACAAACTACCATCAGTGTTAGTAATAGTCTGTTATTTAATTGGACTCTGATATTATGCTTTCTGAGTATTCTCTTTAATGTTCTCGACTTTGAATATGCTCAGGTTTAACTAACACCTATATAATGTGTATGGAATTACAATCAATTGTTGTAATTTTAATTGCAATCAAATTAAACTTAATCAATCATACAAACTAGCGAAATTAACGAAGTTTAACACTCATAAACGGAATTCTACAATTTTACTTTACGATATAAGGAATACAACATTAAAAATTTGTTCGTGTATAATGACCGTAAATTATTGCAAATACACATAGAGAGATCATTATTATACCATTAATTCGTAATTATTTCAAAAATAAAAAAATTCATTTTTGTTTTTTTTGAAAACTCACAATAAATTAAAAATAAAGTAAATATTATTTTAAAATTATAATTATAAATTAAATGAAATATAGGTGTATTATAATAATAAAATAAAAATGAATATAAGAAAATAGAATAAATCATGTCTCACGTGCTAATTGTATAATATGCTATTCTAGAATTCAGTTTTTGCTATATAGTAATGCTCCGGGAACTAGAACAGACTATTAAATAAAACAAAGCAAAATCATAAGAACAGGAAAAAAAATAAACAACAAATTTTCGTGACTTGGCAATGATTAATATTTAAATAGTAACAAGTATGTATGTATGTAAGTACATGAAATGTCAAAAAGTAAATAAGAAATAGTATTATTACGTAAACACACATATACTTACACAGACTGAAAATGTATAAATATCCAAAAACAAAAAAAAAAAACAGAAAGAATAAAGCTTTTGACATTGACAACTTATACAGTACTTTATTTGTTTTGTTTTGTTTATCTTATTTTTTCATTTTATTTTTATTCTTTTCTATACTGTTAAAAATAATTATTTATGGGTTATAATTTCAATCATGTTTAACGGTAATTCGAAATCAGTTAATTAGGGATTTATGTCATGCAAAAATAATTTGTATAAATGTATATCAGTGTGCAAATGTATAAAAATATATGTAGATGGCGGTGATCATAAATTATAGAATAAAATATAAACCATTGGGTTGATTTATACAATTTAATTATAATTATTTGTACTTACATATAGATATACATATGAATATTGTAATGGTTGTAGATAAAATAATAATTTAGATCGATTATTTTTTTTTTTAATTTTGTTATACCATTTACAATTATTTATAGTACAAGCGTGTAGCAGCAGGTGGTGCCAGATCACTTGATATTTTAGATAAACTCTAAAATAATTTGATTTATTAAGTATATTATAAAATTATTCAGTAATTTTTGTAATCTTCTATAAATTTAACATTCCAATTATAAAATATTTTTAATTTTTTTCTGCATTTTCGATTTCCTATAATAAATTTCGTTATTATTATTGTTGTTTGTAATATTTAAAAAGTATTGAGATAAAATAATTCGTTAAATTTTTCAATTTATTCGATTAAGATCTGAAATAATAATTTAATTGATATTTTAATTAGTTTTAGTTCATTTAGTTTAAGTATATTGTAAATATATGTATGTACATGCAAAAATTTATAGGGCTCACAGAATCATGTTGTGGATTGTACAGGTACTAGTGTATCAGTGTATTAGTGGTCTATTGTGCTGTTTCTGAATTCCGTTTTTCTTAATTTTGGTTCCGAGAATTAAACCGTCAAGTCAATTACACTGTCTGGTGAAAAAATTATAATTATAAGTTGGCTGGGGTCGTCAAAACGCATAAATAATAAACGCAAAACAAATAAATACATAGGTATAATTAGTATATAGCTTTCTTACATATTGATCTGTTAATAAACGCGTCATGCGTTTTTAGTCCCAAAACTTTTTAAATTCTCCAAAATAAACATATAATCGTAGATTCTGCACTTGACGAAAGATTCTGGCAGTTTAAGTCTGGCAACGAAAAAAATTAATTTTTCTTTTTTAAGCCTGACAGAAAAACAGCTGAGCTTTTTAAGTTTTTTTATTTAATAATATTTTTTTTTGAAGTTTATTAAGACATACTAAATGAAAATAGTGCATGCTAAATTTTGTATTGATAAAAAAATGTAAAATTCAATATAATTTTGGTGAAGCACTCTTACTGCTTTTCAAAGTAATCTGTTGTCAATATTATAAAAGAATTCTATAATTAACTTATTCCAAATCAATTTCGATTTTTCAAATTTACTTTAAAAATTAACACTTTCTTAAAGTTAGTCAATATTTTATTATTTATGCATGTTTAAATTTTTTTTACAAAATTTTTTTATAATTTTAGATTATTTACCTTACTTGAATAATTTATTGCTTTAAATAAAAGATATTACGCAAGAGAAATTACAATGGACTCGGAATATGTACAATATTAACTCATGAAATTAGTGATTAATGAATAAATACATACTAAACATAATTTATGTCCAAATCTAAATTTTTATTTTATTTATTTTACTTTATTTAAATATGTACTTTGTATTATGTTAGAATACAATTGAAAGTGTTGGTAATATAAATTATTTAATGATCATTTAGAAAACATAATAATTATGCCGCGGATATAAGATTTTATGACAATTTTTCTTTTTATAATTGTTATATACATTTGAATTCAAAATAAAATTCGTGATTTAACGGGTCACGAAAATAAATAATAACCAAAAGAGAAAAAAAATAAATTAAAAATGGAAATGTTCTTTGAAAAATGGGAAAAACGACGTAAAAATCAACTTAATTTTAAAACAAGTTTTTTATCGTGATAAATTAAGAGTACACCAATTTGTTAAATATTGCAAGAATATAAACCCAATACATATTATATTATACGTGAATTAAATATAAATATTTTGTAATGTTTTAATATACAGGAACATGGTTATGTTTCACCCTCTTATAATTTAATATTTTTATGAAATTAAGAAATTAAAATAATAAAACCAAAAGTACCACATAAATATTGTAATGTTTTTTGAAAATTTTTTGATAATACTCGTATACCGCCTGAAATCTTACAGAAATTATTTTCAAAAAATCTGGTATGATCCGCACATAACTGACCGCAATATCTAACGTGTATTAGACGCTTCTTTCAAATTTTAAGGATGCTATGAAGCTTTTAGCTAACATACCTATTAGCTAACATATCCAAAATGTAGTATTTGCAACTAGAAGAGGTTCACCTTATGTCATTTGAATTCCCTGAAAAATTCACCAGTTAGTTTCGGTATCAATCAGAATATTAAATTTCAAGAAAATTAGTTGATTATTTCTCTTTATATGCGTAAAAACGTGAAATCCAATCCAAATCGGTTTAGTTGAACTTGAGATACACGCGTGCACACACAGACTCACAGACCCATAGACCGTTAGTTTAAGCAAAAATTAGCTTATTTACACTTCCCTACTTAGGAGTTGTGCGTTTCTTCCCTTATTGTATGCAATGCGGTCCATAAAAATTTGTAGAATCAAAGCTGCAACATTTGTTGAAAATTCTTAAAATCCTTATCGAAATCTTTTATAGGAGAAATTAAACCGGCGTTAAACTGATATATTTTAGAAAAAAATTAATTTGAAAATATTGTAAAATTTTTTTCTTTAATTACGAACATGTCCATTACATATTCTAATTTCAATTTTAATTTAATTTATATTTACAGGCAAACCAAAAAAGAAACGTCAATTATATCGTAAAGGAACAAATAGCCAATACTCAAATAATCCAGTTAAAGATGACGGGATAAATTAATGAATCAAACATATTGAGAAAAACACAAAAAAATCGATTGATCGAACGCAATATTCTAAATTGATTAATTAAAAATTACGAAATATTCTATATATGAACGTATGTAGAAAATTAAAGAAGAAAACAACCTCTTGGAAAAATTTCAATATGATAATGCATTTATCCAAGTCTAAAAAAATTTTTAAAAATTAAATGAATTACTTACAAAATTTTCAAAGAAAATTAAACGAATATTAAAAATTAACCATTTTCGAAACTATAATTAAAGAATAAAGAGAATAAACAACAAAATAAGAAATTACGATAAAACTCAATAAACAAACATACACTCAAATAGTAACAAACAAAATCAAATAAAAAAAACATAAAACAAAAATGTATCGACCAAATTTTTATGAATCAAAATGTTTACGTTGCAATGAAATCGTTTATCAAGTTGATCGGGTTGGACCTCTTAAAGATTTCACATTTTTTCATTCCGGATGTTTTAAGTGCGTTCATTGCGGTACAAAACTAACATTAAAGACTTATTACAATAATCAACATAGACAGGAAGATAAAGAGGTAAAGTAAATTTTTCTTTTTATATATTTTTTTTTTTAATATTTTTTTATATTTATTTTAATTTTTATTTATTTATTTATAATTGCTGTATTATTTGAAAAACAAAAATTAAAACAGAAAAATCTCAATTTCTACCTTTAAATTTTACCTTTTTCGTACTATAACTCATTTGAACATTTATTCGTTTATATTGCTATATATACATATATATATATATATATATATATATATATATAACAATAAAACTGTTATATGTTTGAGAGAATTGCAAGCAAATACAGGTAGACTAACATTTATAATACGACTGAGTAGTACATTATAATTTAAAGATATTTACTTGAATAAAAGTGTCTCTTGCATACATACATAGATCGGTGTGTTAAACGACTCCTTAAAAAGCTCTTAACTGCTAAGAAAAACTCTTTAACCATATTCATTTGAAATCTGTTGTAATCGAGTGATAAAATATATATTCATTTTGGATCACAAGTAATAATGGCGGAACATATACTTTCTCTTATGTAGTTCGTATAACGCCATAGAAATTTTCCCACCATACACATTATTCACCATATAGAAATTTCACCACAAGTACTATCTGCTCGTAAGTATCAAAATAAAAATTAAAACTATATGGCATGGTGGAGCTACAAATTACACACTCATTATTTATGCCTCAAACAGAGAGGTGCTTATCAAAAATTCTTCTTTCAAATTTCGAACTTGTTGCTTTTATACTTCAAGTCTGATTGTGGTAATTAGTATACTCGACTTGTGGGACCCTTCACAGTTTTATATAGACCCTGCAAAAATTTTTTTTTACAATTATTTCATTTCCATTTTTCTTTTTGTCTAACTGTTTATTATTTTAATTTTATTTTATTGTTTATTATATCAATATATTTTTTCATATTTACCTTATAAGTATATTTATATGAAAAATTTCGCTTTTAGCATAAATGCTAACCATAGAAGGAGTGGTTTGTGTATTTTTAATTATTGGCTCCATAAGCAATTATGTCCACAAATTTTTTAATAATACAAAATATATACCTGATATGGTTACCTGGAGGGCTAATTTAAATTAATAAATAATTTAATTATATTTTATTTATATTCACTGATCTTTTCGTAATCATATATAATTTGACAGCAAGCTTCTTTATTTACGTCTATCCTAAAACTTGATTTAAAATAATAATTCAGTAAACAAAGTTCAACCAAATCTAAAAAATATTGAAGATATAAAATATAATTAATAATTAAAATATAAAATTAGCAAGTATATTATCATTATATAAACAATGAATCAAGCCAATAATTCGTAAAATAACACATTTCCGTTGAAGAAATCTTTGTTATCTTATTGCACACTTCACGATAAGAGCAGATCAGTATATTTTTACGCTTATGGAATTTCCAAAGAGTTTATGTGCTTTTGATAAAGTAAGTTGTTTCAAAAATGTCATTTGTAACTTTTACGAGGGCCATTTTTACGAGAGAGGAGTAGTAAATCAATATTTTCTTCCGAAGAATGAGTTTCTCGCAAAGATTCAATTCTGCATAAAATTTCGGTATTTTATTTTGAACGATATGGAAGTTTTGAAATTTGACGCAAGGTTGGACCCGAAAGGCAATGTTAAACTACATAACATGAATGTTGTTTTTTTTTTTGCAATTTTTTTTGTAGTATATTTACGACTTTTAGATTTTATAAAATAAAATCTAACACTAAAAATTAGAAATTGCTATAATACTTTAATACGACAAACCTATAGAAATAGGTCAGTACGAGCATTATATATATATATATACAGCGTATTATATGTATATACAGCGCCTGAGTTATCATATGTAAAGTAAGCATTTGCGATGAGCACCAGAAAATATTGACGTAGTAAATTTTTTTTTGGTGAGGGACGGTGTACCATTCGGAGACCTAATAAGTCAGAATCGGTCCTGTGCATATGTATACATATAAAATTTTGAAATTATTTAAATTTATAGTGAATAAAATCATTTATACTGAAGGAAGCCTTCATTATTTACAATTATATGTCATAAAATAATTTGTTAACTAACAAATCTTCTACATCTTAAAATTTAATTTTATTTGTAAAGTAACAAATTTATACTGTACACATTCACATATTATGTAGTATGTGTTTAAAGGAAGCAATCCGCCTATAAATACCAAATTCGAAGCAGAATTATTACATATAGGTATACGAATTATAACAGAAATGTGAAAGAATGCTCTTTTAAATATAAGTATGTGCACTTTTACTTTTAATTGGTTATAAAAATGGATGAAATAAATTTGCCATGAGCCTTTTATATACATTGGAAATAGCAGAAATAAAATAAGAAATAAAAATTTATATTTTTTTTCGAAATTAAAACTATACTATATAATAATGTGGTAATAGATAAACATTTAATGAGATCGTTAAAATATTATGTACGTGCTTAAATATTTTCATTAATTCTCATTTTGTGTATTAAGCTTAAATGGCTTGAGAGTACATAATTTTTCGAAAATTTTTCATTTGAATTAAAATCTGGTTAATTTTCTCGAATTTTTCATTTAATTTTTGTTTTTTATTTTATTATTGTTTTAATTTTTATTTTTTTTTTATATTTTTGTACATATAACGAACGAAACCGGATAAATTCACTATAAAAAGTAAAAAACAAAAATTTATGAGAAATCAAGAAATTATTTAAATGGATATGGAAAAAAAGTAAAATTTGTAATTAATGTTTTGCTTTCTCATATTCGGAAGATTTAAAAAAAATAATTTGTTTTTCCTGGATTACTTGAATTAAATGGACTAACTTAATAATTAAATAATAAATCAGAGACCATTTGGAGATTTTTGTAGACTCATGTGAATTCGAAAGTCTCAATGAATTTTAACTTATAATAATTACTGCTATAATTATTCATTACCTTTAAAATCTGACTCTAAGCTGGTTCAGTACTCTATATTATATTGGTTTGGATTTTTAATACACATCTCTTCTTTAATATTCTCGATATTTCTATTTAATTTTTGTTCTCTTGTAAACGATGATACTGTAGCGCTCCAAATAATTTAAAAGTGGCATGCTTATTAATTGCCTGACCATTGGTGCAGTGTTTATGGCACCGGTCCTTTAACCGAAGGGTCTCGGGTTCAAACACCGGTCAGGTCACTATTAAAATTATATTCAATATTATAGCTTAAATATACAATATTTATGAAGCAACAAATTAGTATATACAAGTAATTTTCATATATTCATAATTAATTCGATATGAAAATCCAAGAAAAATAAGTAATAAATAATAATTAGCTTTTAAATATTAAATATAAAGAAAAACTACGGCAGGCACCTATCTAGTTAAAACTCTGTAACGCAATGAAACTTAGGTATGACATAGTCTGATGTCATGCACTAGCCTTATGCTTCTCCTAGGAGTGGGGAAAGGAAAAAAAATGCTTATTAATTGTTTAAGAAAATTATTCATTTTACTTGAATATTAACATTTTTGCCAAGATTTATTAATGTAAAAGATTTTGAGCCGGGTTCGGTGTATTATAAAATTTAAATTGTACTAATCTTAAATTTCAATGGGCACTCTGTTTATTCCCGTCTTTTAAAATAAACAAAATAGTATTCTTAAACATTTTTTTGTATTACGTTATTCAATCAAATTCGGCTTAATTATTAAATATTATTTATGGCAAATCTTGAAAAAAAAAGTCAAGTTCCATTTATTCTCAAATTTCAAATGTTTTCATAAGCCTATATACGCGAGTGAATCGCAAATAATACAAGAGTAGTAATGTGAAATTTTTATTATATATATATATCGCATTAAAATTACCCATGTATTCATACTCATTATGGGCAATTTTAATCACATACATATACCTATTTATATTATGAAATTTTATCCAAGAGAAAAGTAACGAGAAAGGGAAGTTAAATTACTACACACTATTATTAATTAAGTGAAAATATTATGCAACTTAAAATAGTATATTTATATTTTACCTTATGACCGCTTGCTGTATATATGTACATAAAAAAGCTGGGTATGTTCAAAACGTAAACAATATATGTAGGTCTTGAAAAGTTAATTTTAATATAAACAATAAAATTAAAGAAGAAAAAAATATTATTTATTATTATTTTTACTATAAAACTACAATTCCTGTTTAATTAAAAAAGTTCAAAGATGATCTCAGTCAAATGGAAAACAAAGTAAACTAAAATAACAGAAAATATAACTGGAAAATATGACACCTTTAATGTCCAATTTTATTTAAGTATGTTTATAACACATATACGCACCACCCCTATAATACTATAAAAAGCAAACTGTATATTATTAACACCGGAATTGAAAAATGATTCGTTTTCACTGAAAAATCAACTTTAAATAAATGAAAATAAAGCTTTTATCATTTAAGTATACAAATCACACCCCAAGAAGAAGAGCACAAAATTTAAAAAAAATCAAATATTAACTTAAATGACATTTGAATCGGATCTTCTATTAATCCTTGTACTATATTCGATTACAACAACGTTCACTACGTAAAAGTGATCACTATATACCACTAAAAGTGATATTTGTAGATTTGCTTCCCAGAATAACCACGCTTGGTATGGACAGGCACGTTCATCTAGTTTCAGCATTCTATGTTTATATGCATAGAGAAAAATTACTATTATGCTTAAAAAATCTTATATTTTACATTCGAACAGCTTTTTTACTCCTTAAGCCGCTCTATTTTTGCAATGATAATAAGGCTCAAATCCGTTATTAAATAAGGCTTACCTTTAATCAAATCCGATATTAAATAATTTGAAAATTTGCTGTATAGATTAAATTGAAATTGAATGAAACAACTAGTTACTCCCGTGTTAGTTCGCAGACACGATGGTGTTCAAGATAGTGAGAAGAAGTTGTGTGGACTGGTAGACGGCGAACTCTGTTAATTTCTTAAAATATACTTTCGTTCGTGTTTCTTTGAGAATTGTAACAAGTCATACATCTTTTATTTTCTTACTACATACAGCGGGAGCTAGTTAGGACAGTTTAACAGACTGCAAAACTGTATGATCAGATCAACTCATATTGAAAACAGATAAAGGAACATGACTTATTTTTGCTTGTTTTCACAAGAAGAGACTCAACTGATAAAGCCCACCACTTTATTTTATGCTACCTTCCAACAGCTAAGGGTGCGAATTTAATTGTTAATAATCATATGTTTATACTATTTTTACCTGTTAAATACAGTTATATGCAAGATAAATATAAAAGATACATATATAGTGGTATAATGAAGATATATAGTATGTAATTATATTGTAAACCATATAATTTTATATGAAAAGTCCGCAAGCCATATTAATTACAAATTTATATTAATTGATGACGAATATGACGTTATTACATATTGTACATAATTTTATACTGTGTGTGACCTATAGTATAAAACTTATGTAATAGGTACTGGAAGCAAAATTTAAAAAAAAAAACATTATAATTATAAAATATACAATGCAAAAGGTTCGGCGTTTTTCACATCCATACGTAAATACAAACAAACATACAATTATATGCAAACATATATAACGAACGCTGGTTGAAAAAGTGAAATTTTTAAAGTGCAATGAGATTTTTAAGGTGAATACCTTATTTATTATTTGGATTTTTTTTCTTTATTTTCGCAATTGATGTCAAATAAATTTTTAAAATTATTGAATTTGTTTTTTTATCTGTTTAAATCTTTTTTTTTTCTTTTTTTTTCTTTCTTACACTTGATTTTTACCCTTTTAAATTGAAAAGTGAAATGACAATAATTATAGGCATTTCAAAACGTATAACAAACCAGAAAAAACACAAAAGGCATATAGAAATAAAGGAAACAGGTCTTTAGGGCATTTAAAAACTTAAAAATTTAAAAATAAATTTAAAAATACTTGCAATAGATTGAGAAAAAATATAAAAAATTATTTCCAATTAATTGATAAAAATCCTTATTTTTGTTGGTATTTTTCGAATATTTAATATATAACAATAAATTTTACGTTTTGGTGATTTTGGCAAGGTGTTATAAAAAAAATTGCCTTATAAATTTCAAAGTTTTAATTTTAAAAATTAAATGTAAATAATTTCAATTGGAAAATTAGTGTATTCGAAAAGAAATCAAATTTTTACAAATCTTTGTTTGCATGTGGTCCTCTGATAATGAATTAAGTTCAATTAATCCAGTCCGCTTTTCCAGTTGAAATTAAAATTATTGTTAAAGATTTTTATCCCATACTATGTAAATTTTTTCTTTAAAATTTTTTTCATTCCATAAAATTTTGAATCTTTTCAGGTTTATAATTTATTTTTATTATTCTTTTAATAAAATGGAATTGTAATTATGCTTATTTTATGCTAATATGACAGTTTAATTGTGTTAATTAATATAATTTTTGGTAGAGATTGAAATCTATAACTCGTTATTTATTTTTGACTTAAATTAAAATTAATGTCGCAAAATAATTTAATTATATATAAGTAGTTAAAATGTTTAATTTACTTAAAGAGAATTATTATTTGTATATAAATTGTACTTAAAACTATATGTATATATTATATATTTCCACTCACAAATACTGCATTATGTTGTGTGATTCAGGATTCATGTAATTCAAATACAAGATTTATGTAAAATAATGAAGAATTCTAGTACCAAACACAATTATACTGCAATTTGTCATAACGCATTTGGTCTCTAAATATTTGGAAGGAAATATGATATTGTGTGTAGTTGAATATTGTGAATATAATTTGAGCTTTTAATTCCTAAAAATTCACTTAAGTCCCGTGACCCGATTTTAAATACAGCTGAAAGGTTTCAACGCATATTCAAGAAAATTTACAAAACATACACCAAAATTGTTCTCGCCTATTTATTGAACCAATCAGACAATAATTGATGAATTATTTTTTAATACATTTGTCATATATTTACACTGAAACATCCATTGAAATCAAAAATTTACCTTAATCCTTTAGCAATTGTAAGGTAATTTACTACAAATTATTGAGTTTAATACTGGTCCACTATTTTTAATAATTTTTATAACTTAAGATAAAGTTTTTTTTTTGACAAACTTATACAACATTATTAATTCCATTATTTTTTTTTATACATTTTTTATATAGGTATATTGTAGTTCACATGTACCAAAAAGTGGACCTGGTCATCTTGATCAAACATCAGTTGGAATACGTCAAGCATTAAATGTTCCTCGTTCAAGTAAATATGTTAATGAACAGATACGTGGTTCAAGGACTGAAATCGATGGTAAATAAAAATTTTTTTCTTACAGTTTATGTTTTTTTTTCTTTTCTTATTTTTAATTGTTTTTTGCTTAATCTAGATATTCGCATAGTTTATAAATTAGTTCAATGCCATAAATACATTAAATAATTGATTAGCAGCATATTATTTAAATAAATAGATTTCTTGTGTAAATTAATTTTTATTTTTTCTTCATAATTAACACTATTTACATACTCTAATTATTTTCAAATTCATGTTAAGTGCTACTTTATGTAAAAGTACTCAAAGTTATTTTTATATTCAACTTTTAAATTTATTTATTATTGTGGTATAAATTTGTAAATTTATTAAAATTTTTCATGTATTAAATCACAAGTATAACATTATAAATATGTGCAATTAATTTATTAAAAAAAATTAACAACATAATTTTGTAATATGCACATATAAAATAATAAAGTATTATGAAAGCACATTTCCTGCAAATTTCAAAAGAAGATTTTGTAAAAAAAAAAACAAAACATTTGCATTTAAAAATTCTCGAAAAAAATATTTTTTTTATATATAAGTATTGATAAGTAAAAAGTTTTAAATGTCGAAATTAATCGTGTTATCTCTAAATTTGGGATTCAGAGTAAAAAATCGTATCTTATTTTGCAATATTAAGTAAGAATATAAAAAATTGCAATGTCGAAAAATTAGTTAACAAAAATGAGCTTAAACACCCGGCTAAAAAATTCAAAGCAGTATTTCATCGATTTTGAAAGTCTACTAATACTTAAACAGTTTACGTTCAAAGCGATCTTACGTCACCTCTTATTCTAACTAAGATATTGCACAACATCTGCTTTTGGAAGTAGTGATTAAATATTTGTATGTATACATTATCATTGTTAAAAGAAACTAAAGGAAGTAAGAAATCATAAAAGAAGATGAGGTGGTAGAGTGTTCGCCTAAAAAGCGGCAGATCACTAGTTCAAGTCCAGTTCAAGGAGAAAAATTTTTTAATATTTCTGCTTAGACTCGTTCCTTTGGTTAAGTCATCCATCTGTTTTGCAGTAATATGAAGAAATTTCCAATATTTATTCTAATATCAAAGGTCATAAAGGAGCTTAGATTCAATAAACGATTCATTCATATAAAAATTTATCTAATTCTGCAGCTAATCGAATTTTATTTCATTTATAAAAGAAATTTCAATATAAAATCTCAAAACAATTAAAACACACACCATAAAATTGTCTTTTATTTTAAATTCATAATTCCGTTTTAGTCTGATCCCAAATAATTATATGTACGTCTAATAATCCAAAAAAAAACTTTCATTAATTTTAAACTAATCTAGAGTATAAGCAAAATTCCAATCCAATTTTTAATATTTTTTTAAAACACCAATCATTATGCTCTATAAAAAACTTATTAAATGAAATTCATAGATTGAAATTTTAATAATAATAAAAAAATTAAATATGCAATTTAACTATTATTAATTTATTTATTCAACTGACTTGCTCTATACTCAACTTTCCTTCCTCATATTTCACCTGTATATTTTACAAAATGTGTTTTTTTTTTACAAATTTACTTTCTTTATTGTGTTTAGTTAATTGTTCAATATTTTGTTGCAACATATGTAATTTTTTTTTCCTCTATTTTTGACATTATTATTCAACCAACAATAAAAATATAAACAAATAATAATTATTTCAATCTTTCAAATTATAATAATAAAATCGCTATTTTGTCTTCAGATTATATTATTATAAAAATGTGCATAGACAACTGTTATACATATATTATTTAATCTAAATGTGTGCTAAATTAATAAGATTTTCTCTATATAATTTTATAAAATAAGCAAAAATATCAAGAAATTAATTTAACTTAAATAATTAAATATATTATTAAAATAATTAATAATAATATAATATTATAATAATAATTAATAAATTATTATTTAAATATAAAAAAAAAAATATAGGACAACCACGTCAATCAACACCAAATGGATATAGTAGCGGTGGCGGTAACCGTGATATCAGTTCACCATCACAAATTGATTCAGATTATAAATATGGTAGATTTGATGCAAGTGCTTTACATATTGCACATGCACTCAAACAAACTGAAATACAAAAAGCATATAATAAGAGGCGGGAAAAACCAATTGATTTCTATCTGGTAAGTTTTCTTAATTTTTCTTATTTTTTTTTTTTTTTTTAATTTTTAGATTGTTGATGTTTTCAATGAAATTTTAGTGTTTCTAAATATGCATATAATTTTCTTGTTTTGCATTTATCATTTGATTTTATTATAAAATTATATGCTACTTGATAATTTGACGCTAATATAATAGCATAATTCATAGATTATTGGAATAATATTGAAATTATAGATTCAACATTATTATAATAGAAAAGAACAGGCAATTATTTAGATTTACATACAAATATTATTATTACTTTAAATTATAATTGAAAAATTTACTTAATATTATATGTAATGAAAATTATGACTGGATTAATTAAAAAAATATTTAAATTGATTGATATATTAAAAGCAGAGGGGGATTCAGGATTTAAGAATTCCAAAATTATTCTAGTAACAGTTCCCTAATTTCTTCTAATTTGTTTGTGTATTTTACGTCTAAAAGAACTACTGTAAGACCGAATTTATCCCCAAAATTTCTTAAAATTTAGGACCTATTTCAAAACCCGGGAATTTATCACCTAAAAACTTTATTTTCAAATCGGGAATTGTTATTACCCAAAATAATATTTAAAAAACATATTTTATTTAAATCATAAATTTTCATATTAACATGTGACTGCTCTCCGTTTACTTAAGAGAAAAATATTCCATGTTAAAATAATTGTCATAAAAAGTAGTTAAAGAAGCCTCTTATGTTTTAAGCCGGCCCTGATAAAATCCACTTGTAACAGTTTATCATTACATGTTTTCCATTTTCTTTTGTTATATAATTAAATTTGTATGAGACAATAATCAATTTCTTTTAATTTTTGATAAATTTTTATTTTTAATGAACAATTGTTTTGTAACTTTTTCCATCATACTCAAGACTTTGTGTTTGAAATCATAAAATATAATATATGGCTATATACATACATACATTTTAAAATATGCATATTATGAATTATATTATGTGAGTATGTACACCATTTTATTAAGGTTGTTTTTTTTAATTTTTTTTTTGTAATTTTAATAAAAAATGAAATCTTCATTTTTCTTTCAATATTATTGATTATCAATTACGAGTAGTATGTATTGGCTTTTTACGCATTTTGTATTTAAAAATTGATTTCGAAATTTTACATGCGTTTCATATTTTGAAGAAGAAAATGTCTACATGGGGTTTTATATTTTATACATGCATCATTTTTGATTTCAATAAATAATAGTTTACGTTACTCTGCTATGTAAATTAATTGGGTAAATTTTACGTTTTACGAAATTATTAAAAATTTTGAATTAAAAATTACTCGAAAAGAATTTGAAATTTTCACCAGCTAGTTAACTGCCAGATATTTCGAATTAAAAAATTTATAAAATCTTATCAATTTTTTGCATATATTTAGGATTAATTAACTTTATGAAATTGGGATAATTTTAACAATATTTGAACAACATTGAATCTGAATAATTCACGATTTAAAAAAATGAGTTTAGCATTGCAACCGAATTTAAATTTTAAAGTGAAATTTTTACTTAATTTTATTAAATTCTTAATAAATTACAAAATTTTGAATTTAAGAAAAATATGGTCAAATTAACGAAATCCCAATTTTTTTCGTTCAAACAAAATTCCTTTTATTGGTACATAAAAGTAAGGCTAACTCTGCTTGTTAATGCATTTATCCTAAGTCATACATGGCCATGAAATTTTAAATGGTATAATTAAAATTTTTATTTTAAAATTCACTATTTGAATATTTGAGTATTTGAATTATGTAAGAGATTTAATCAAAGAAAATCTCATTAACAATTTAATACTTTATTGAACATTGTTATCAAATATTTCCCTTAAGCAATTTCTAATAATATACGTTTGAAATTTTTATATTATACATAGAATTTAAAAAATTATTATCTAATTTTAACTTTAATTTTAATTCTTTTATAATAGAAATGTTAACAATAGCATGTGATTTATTTAAAATTAAAAAATTGATAAAGAAATTAAATATCTAGCCTAATAATCTAGCCAGCATAAAAATGCCATATATGTTCGTATAATTGACCTCTAAATTTTTAAAATTTCATTATAGCAATTTTTCAATTATACCTAAACTTAAAAACGTTCATATAGTGCGATCATAAATACCCTTTCATACGGGTAAATATGTAAATTAACATTATTATGTTATATACATACTACGTACATATATATATATATATATATATATCTTTTGTACCAGTATCAATATAAGATGACATTGCGTATAATATTTCATGATAACTTTCGCAACAAAAATTGATTTACATTATGCTTATTCGATTCATTTACGAAAAAAAGTATAGAAAAATATAAGTAAATCAAAAATTACCTATAGTTTGTTTCATTGTAATAATCTAAATAAAATTATGTTGTAAAAATTAAATTTCTACATAGCTAATATTTTTTTTTTTATTTTCATTAACCCTAACGGCACCATCATTCATATAATATGAAATTAATGTTTTAAATTGAATTGTTTATTAAATCATTCGAATTATATGAATGCTTGTACTTACAACATGTATGCAATAGTGTTAAACACAACATGAGTTTAAATTAAAACAAAATATTCGAATGCCATAATTACAATAACATAATTTGAAAGGAATGAAATAATAAATTTGATATAAACAAATAGTTTGTGAAGTAGCACATTTCCAAGAGAAAACGCATTTGTTAATGACGACATTCTACATTGTTGTATACAGTGCATACATTTAGCATAATAACAGTATTAAAAAAACTCTTAATAAATTCATGGAACTGTACGATAGTTACTTGTTTGTTTTTAATGAAATTTGATAAATCGTAAAATTTCAAAAAAATAAGCAGTTGAAGAGGGATTTTCCTTATTTTGAAAAACGATAATTTTTAACAGGATAAATTGCTCACAAATGTCTGAGATTGGCTGAAATTTGAGGTTTACAGTTTACCGTCTAAGAAAAAAACAATGTTAAAAATTTGAGAAAAATCAAAATCAATGAAGCAATCAATTTCAACGTCCATTTTTTTATTACGATTTCTTTGCTATTTGGCCCGGCTTGTAGAGTTTAAAATATCTATTCGTGTATGTTTAATTTTGACACTATTAAATTGTCAAATTATTTAAGATTAAATCGGGTCGAAATTAGTTTCCTAACAAAACCCATTTGTGTATAAAAATTTGAGATTTATCTATCATGACGCACAAGGTGAATAGCCTGTGTTAAATTTTAAGCAGATTTTTTTTCCCCAACTTTTGTTGCCAAAATACTTAAAACATTAGAAAAAAAAGACAATTGTATGTAAAATTTTTCTAAATATCTAAAAGAGATTGTATAACTGTGTAGTCCGAAAATCCAATGTAAAATAATTAGTTTCGGTTTTCAGATATACAGAAGTAGGTATAGCATAAGCTCACCAATATTATAAATGATCATGTTTAAATATTGATTTTCTTTTTTTTTAATGAAAATGTAAAATTAAGAGAAAAAGTAACAGAAAAAAAATTATAACACAAATATGATCCAATTGGGTAACAATTTAATCTTTGGCTAGTACCCGTAGTATAACGCAAGATTACTATTACGAATGCTTACGTAAAAACAAAACAAAAAACAAATTACTTACTTAGATTATACTTATTTCTTTCTTGTTTTTGCTAATTTTACATGATCTTAAAATCTTATACGATTTCTAATTAACATTTTTCATGATTTTCAATTTTAAGTACATGCATAATATTTAATTGAATAAAAATTTCATAATCACACATTTTGATTTTTTTCCAAAAATTGCAAGAGTATAAAATAAAAATTTTAATTACTTTTATCATAATGACTTTTTATGTATATTTGACCTTTTAATTCGGTTAAATTAAAATGTTTCCGTATATTTATAAAAGTAAAACAAATCTGGGAGAACTTTAATTATAACAAATATATAAATTTTAACCTTCATCTTACTATTATTAACAATTACTAATAAAATATAATACAAAAATTATTTACTTTTTCTTTTAATATATAAGCGCCCGTACTGCTACAATTTTCTTATATTATTATAGCAAAATATAACAGATATGAATTTAATCATATCAGTAGCGATGCAAGTATTTTGAAAAAATTCTATAGTTTGCTAAATTTAAAGAAATAATTTAATTTAATTAAGTTGCCCCGACACTGTAAATGAAATTTGGAAAACAAAACTCCCTCTATTATAGGTTTTCCATTTTTTATTAAAAGTATTTTAAATAACATTCAGTTAAATGACATGAAAACTGATCAAGTTCTTATACTGAAATAACTATTAATCACATTAGCTGGCTTGAAATCTTTTGAAATACTAAACTTTCAAAAGTATAACAGTTTTAGTATAACAGAAATATTAAACTAACAAACGTATAATAGTTTTTCAAATATATTTATAATAGCATTTTGACTTATTTCATTAATTGTGCTATTTTACTTAATTACCTAAATTTATTTCTAAGAATCAAATTTCCCATATTGACAACATAAAATAGGATAAATTCGTGTAAATATACGATTTCCAACTAGAGCCATTGAATAATATTCTATGTACAAAGTAAAGATTCTGAATATGAGGCCTTTTCTTCAAGTAAAAATTTCTTAGAATTCTAGGAGAAAATCATATTTTCTAAGAAGTTCAAAATTCCGACGTGAAAAGAGCGTTGATCCCTCTTGGTATTAAGGAATATTAGAGTCACCTCTTGGAGCAAATCTATACAATTCAGGGGAAAATTATTATTTCAACACTTTGTATTAATTGAAAATTTTTAGTACTCCATGAATTCTTCTTCAAATATTTTAGTAAATATTCTAAGGCTATTCCAAATCCATTGTAGAGTTTTACTCCATTAAAGTTTGAGCTTGTTGCATGTATGTAAATATTATTTAGTACATACATAATATGTAGCGTAATGCCATAAATAGCTGTAGATACG